ACCACATTTTCTTTATTCATTCATCTTTCTCAGTGGACACTGAAGCTCCTTCTACAGTTTGGCTATTGTGGACATTGCTGCATAAACATCGGGGTGTAGGTGTCCTGCCGTTTCACTGCATCTGTATCTTTGGGGTAAATCCCCAGCAGTGCAATTGCTGGTCATAGGGCAGTTCTATTTTTAACTCTTTGAGGAACCTTTTTTTATATTTTATATTTCTACTTGTCTCATTTTTATAGTTTTCATCTCTTTGTGCTGAAATTCCACATTTGTTCATACATGTTTTTCACCTTTTCCTTTAAAATATTAAGATTATTTTATTTTATTTATTTATTTTTTAAAGATTTTATTTATTCATGAGAGACACAGAGAGATAGAGAGGCAGAGACATAGGCAGAGGGAGAAGCGTGCAGGGAGCTTGACGTGGGACTCGATCCCAGGTCTCCAGGATCCTGCCCTGGGCTGAAGGCAGCGCTAAACTGCTGAGCCACCCAGGCTGCCCTGTTAAGGTTATTTTAAAGTATTTTATAATTTTAAAACATTAGCCATATCTGAGTCTTGTTCTTTTGACAGTCTTACCTGTTCAATGTATATCATTTTTTTTCTTGCTTTGTGTATATGTGATAATTTTTTTTATTGGGTGCTAGATTTTTTTTTTTTGAACAGTAGAGACTGAGGTAAATGTATTTGTGCTTAGTAAATGGGTATACTTCTTTTTCAGTTTGTTAATAGATCTCATTTGAAGTGGGGAAATTAGTGGTTGAATCAGTCTGTTTCTTTCTGAGATGGGTTTGTGTTGCTATATAATTGTCTTTCATACTCCAGAGACTTCACATCCCCTCAGCACATGACTGCTATTCATGGGCTTATTGAGAGTGTGGAGCAAAGAACAGTTTCTACCAAAAGAAACTGTTCATCTTTTGTATTGAATCAATACAAATCAATACAAAAGGTGAATTCTCCCAAAGGTGGATCAATTTATATGTCTCTCTCCTTTTGGAGGGGGTTGGGATTCAGTTCATCCTGTTGCCTAGAGACCTTAGCTTTCTAATAGCCTTATCAAAAATTATGATTTTATAGATTATCTGCTTTTTTATAATTATCATATTAGAAGCAACATTCTCTTGCCACTTTTTATAGTAAGTGAAAGTGGAACTTTCCCTTAAAACAGACTTTTAAAGATAACTTTAAAGGAGGGGCACATGGTGGCTTAATTGGTTAAATGTCTGCCTTTGGCTCAGGTCATGATCCCAGAGTTCTGGGATTGAACCCCACTGTGTGGGCTTTCTGGTCAGTGGGGAGCCTGTTTCTCCCCCTCCCTCTACTGCCCTTCTCCCACCATCGCTTATGCTCTCTTTCTTTCTCTCTCTGTCTCAAATAATTATATAAAATCTTGTTTTTTTAAAAAGGATAACTTTAAAGGGGCTAAACACTTAGAAGATTATGAACATAGACATATAGAATGAATGAAGGGGAAAAACCTTCCTAATGTTATTCAATTGGTACTTTTAACTTGGGATAAGATTTATTGTGAAAGTTGCATGTATAATTTGAATTATATTGTTATTCAGGAGACAAGAGTGACAATAACAAAAATAGGTTAAATGTCTTAAATTTTGGCTATAATGATAAAGATAGTGATATATGAAGATGACGAGAAATTTGGATATATTGTCTTTCAAGAGTTGTGAAGGGGAAAGAGCAGTATTTTTAATTTAACATACTTTATATGATTTAATTTAACATACTTTATATGATTTCAAATATGAACACGTAACTCTATTAGTGATAAATTATACAATATTCATACAATATATAGATTTGATCTCTATTTCTAAAAAATCTTTTCTTCCCCTTCAAGAATTTTACCTACCTTTGTATATACCTTTTTTATATAGTAGTACATGGTACAATGCATTTAAAGTCTATAAACATTGAAGTGCCTGGGTGACTCAGTTGAGTATCTTACTCTTGTTTTTGGCCCAGGTCATTATCTCAGGGTTGTGAGAGCAAATCCCACTTCGGGCTCTGTGTTTAGTACAGTCTGCTTGTCTGTGCCTCTCACTCCTGCTCCCACATTTGCTTACATGCATTCTCTTTTCCAAATAATAAATACGTACATACATACATACATATATACAATCTAATGAAGAAAATAAAATATGTAAACCTTGAATGATGATTGGAGGACCTATATATATAGGATGTTGCAAAAATCTTTGGGACATTTATTTCAGAGTTAAAGCAGATTTTCTTTGCTTTTTTTCTCATTTTTAATTGAAATCTATTTTTTTTTTTTTAGCTGTCTGGCTTGAAGCTCATTACTGAATCTCTAATAGCCTCAGTTTCTTTTTCTGGCAAGTTAAATAATAATAACTCAGAAATACAAATCTTGTGAAGAATTATGTATTTTGAATGATATATTTTAAGAACCAAACACAACAACACTTTTTTATAGGTCCTATAGGATGTGATAGGTACTAATGTAAATGTTAAAAAAGAAAGATTGTCTGGAGTAATCAACAAGGAGTAAAATAAGACTAAAAACAAAAACTGTTTCTTGTTTTGTCTCAACAGGTTTTTAGTTCATAAAAAGTAAAATAAAAAATGAAGTTATTTTCATTTCTGCAACAAGTAACATCATGTTATTTAGAGTCTTACCAACTCTATACTGTTACTTTATACATACTTTGTATAAAGGGAGGAGCCATTATATAAATTTGAGACTTCTGATCTAAGAATGGAAAAGCTATATATACTTGCCATAGATGATGTACCTACAATTAAAGGAGAACAAATTCCTTTAACCTTTAAAAAGTTTTTTAGGGGCACCTGGCTGCCTCAGCTGGTAGGGCATGTGACTCTTGGTCTTGGGATCATAATTTTGAAACCCAGGTTGGGTGCGGAGCCTACTTGGAAAAAAAACAACAAACAACTTTTTTTTTTTAATGGTGATGTGGCATTGGTTTTCGTTGTATTATTTCTTAGTAGAATTTGTGCTATGAATTTAGCAGGTTACCTTTTCTTACATGATAGGATATAAGAAGTATTAAAGTTGTACTTTTTCTATCTTGCTTGAGCCTTTACCCATCATTAGTTTGTAAATATTTGAAAAAGGTTGAAATAGAACATGAAAGTCTAATTAGATATGCTTCTCAGTATGAGTACAAGTTTCAAATATTTTTCCTCTAGGATGAATATATCACATACATGATCCAAAGTCTTTAATTTAACATTGCCTTCCAAATTTCCAGCAAGAATGTAAGCTGATATTTTGACTCTTTGATACTTAGGGTTTATTTTTCCTCTCTTAAAAGAAATTTATAAGAAATCAGTGTTTTTAATTCATATGGAATTTTTATTCTGGAAAATTGCCTTCTTAATTGGTTAGGTCATTTATACTGAGTGCATTGGAGACAAACATAGGAATCTCGGAACTCTTGAAATTTTTGCCTGTTTGGCCAGACTCTGGATAATGTGACTAAGATTCCCAGTTTGCCAACTCCCTAAGAAGTCTTAATATTGTAATAAAAGGAAAAGGCAGAACCAAAAAGAGAACTTCAAGAGCATTGTAGTTTTTTTAAAAAAAACTGTGTTAAAATATACATAAAATTACCTTTTTAACCATTGTTAAGCATACAGTTCAGTGCCATTAAGGACATTCACATTGTTGTGCAACCATCACCATTATCCATCTCCAGATTTTTCTCATCATTCCAAATGAAACTCTGTACCTATTAAACACTAACTCCTTATTCTCCCCTGACTCCCCCTGCCCGGGCTCCCTAATTTTCTGTCCCTATGAATTTGACTAAGGAGCTTTATAGTTTTAAGGGAATTTAGATATTTAAATCAGAGTGGTCTTAAAGTCGTTGCAAACTAAGATTGCTCTTGTTTTTCTTTCTGAACTGCCCTCAGTTTAGACAAATTACAAATTTTGAAGAATGAAGTGGCAGAGAAGATGAAGCCACAGTTTGGGATGAGACTCACAGATTTGTTGCATGTGAAATAAACTTGAAATTTTGGTTATTGCTTTTGGAATACAAATCTCCCTGTAGATGAAGTGGTTTTAAGAGGTTGTGACTGTGATAAAAGAGATGTCTCCTGCGGCATATCCAAAATTTTGGATATGGAATATTTGAATCCCGTACCTATCTGGACTGTGCTGTAAATTGGTCAGACTCTGGCTCTCTGAAATACGGAAATCAATGTTTAGGGCTTCTGTTAGTGATAACACATATTCAGTTCTTCAGAATAATAGAAATCTGTGAAAGAAACATTTAAAACTCTTTGCTCAGAACTAATGAGAGAGCTTTGGGACTATGTCTACTCTTTAGTAGATAATGACATTGAAAAAACTCATTTGTATTTTATACTGTATATCCCTTGTAATGCATTTCTCTGCTTGAAAAAATACAAAAAAGACAACAAAACAAAAAGTAGGACAAAATTTTTTTTAAAAAATCTGGTGGGTTTGGGGAAGACACAGATGATATGTTTTTGGACTGTGATCCCATGTCTGAGCTTGCTTGTGGTTACAGATTCTCAGGGGATATCTCCTCTGCCCCCAGCCTCCATCTACCCCTTGCAGGTTCTCTGCTATTTCCTTTTTTTGTGCATGTTTTATGTTTTATTCCCTGTACTAATTACTTCTCAGAATTTCTATTTTCACTTTGATTTTGGCCTCTGTCTTCCTTCCTTTTGTGCTGCCTCAGCAATGCATTTAAAAATGTTTTTAATATTTTATCCATCATTTTGGTTGTTTTAGTTACGACTGTTTTTCAAGATATCTAGCCTGCCATGGAGTGACAGTCTTTATCCGTTAAAAAAAAAATCTTGCAATATGTTAATCTAGATCCCTCTGTGTCATCTGTCTCCCCCATTTTGTATTTCAGTTCTTAAAGCTTATGTATTAAGAACTTTTTGTAAAGCTTGCAAAAAATTAAAATACTCTTTAAGTGTTTATTGTATTTCTGAAAATGTGTGTATTTATTTTATAGTTACTTGAAGGAAATTTTGCCAAAGAAGTCAGCCATGAAATGGATGGACTTATTTTTCAGCCTGTTGGAGTAAGTTCGTGTGTGTGTGTGTGCGCATGCAGTGTGTGCATTTGTAGTATGTATATAAATATATGTCTACACATGCATGTATTTGTATATATAAAGTACATTTTCTTGAGGTATATTTACTTAGGATTGATTACTGCTACAATTACTGCCTATCCTTAAATAATTTATTACAAGATATTTCACTTATATTCAATATATAATGATAAAATGAACAGTTATTTGCTTTTCACTAAGCTTATGAAATAAACATTGATCATTAATTTTCAAGGAAATTAGTCTTTTGATACAATTAGTTTTTTAAATAATTTTTGCAAAATGTTAATTTGTTTCCTTACTAGAAGTCTACTGATAACATTACTTAAATGCTTATTTCTTTCTGTACCCCAATTACCCTTAAATATTAATATTTCTAAAATTTGTTATGGATGAGTGAAATTCAAAGAATCTGTAATACTTGAAGAAAATATAATTCTTTGAATAATACATGTCAGATTTCTGAAACTCATTGAAGAACTTGCAGTAACTGAATGGTCATCATATATTGGGCGTAAGTTCCATTTTTGCTTGATAGTGTGGTTTCTTAGCTTTAGCACCAGTGACATTTTTTTGCCACATAATTCTTTGCTTTGGGGAGCTGTCCTGTGTATTTTAGGGGGTTTAGCAGTATCCTTAGTCCATACTTACTAGGTGCCGGTGTTACTTCTTCCCTCAGTCCCATCTCTACAGGTATGACAACCAAAAATATATACGTTCACTGCCTGCTTTCCCGTGGAGAACAAAATTGCCCTCATTTAACACCTTGTGCTCCATAGAGCACTGTTTCTCAAAATGTGGCCTGTGGACAAGGAAATTAGCACCACCCAGAAAGTTGTTATAAAAGCAGCTCACCCTAGACACTACGGATTAGAAACTCCTGGAATGGAGTCCAGCAATTTGTGTTTTCACAAGCTCTCCACTGACTCTGATGCATGTTCAAGTATGAAAACCACTGCTCTGCAGGAAAGAGTTGTACTATACCTCATGCAGTTCATGTACTACACCTCAGCATGTGCTGCAGTATGCCTCATACACTGCATTTTTCTTTCAGTAACTCTATCCTTAGAAATTAGGGTATGGGCTAACTAGGAAGTTGTATAGAGAGACATCAAACTGGGTACCTGGAGAAAGGGAAGGAAACTAATATTTTTGAAGATTGTGTATTAAATACTATATTATCTATATTTTACATGTATAGTAGAACTTTAATATACAAGTTTAGATATAATGTGATATGTGATTGGCTTCTATCTTCCTTCCAGCCCCCTTTGCCAAACAGGTAGGGAAAGGCTATTCTGTGGTCGAGGGAAAGGTGATGGAGGAGAGTTAAAGGCTGGGGACAAATTGTAGAAAATGCTATCTTAAGAAGATGGAAGTTAGATCTTTGAATTCCAGTATTTTCTAGGCCTTATCTCCCTAGATTGAAATGAAGTTTAAAGATAGAAGTAATTGCAGTAAATTTTACTGTGTTCAACTCATAGTTCACATCCATGTGTATATGAGGTTTCAAGTATATGTAAGAGAAATAACTTGACATGTGAGCCTGTGGCATGTCTAGAAAAGTCAGCTGATGTATTAGTCTGTTCTCACTCAAATAACCAGACTTGTTAGTACAGTGATTTTGTAATTGATAACTAGTAAGGCAAGTCTTTGTTCTTTGCCAGGATTTTCTTAAACATGTGTGGACATTCGGTTTAATATATAAATTTCAGAAGTAGCTTGTCAGGTTACCGAAAAATTCTTGTTAGTAGCTCAATTAGAATTGCTTTGAATTTAATTTGGAAAAAGTTGATGTTTTTACACTATGAAATCTCAGTGAATAAGGTTTAGCTCATCTCAGTGAATAAGGTTTAGCTCTTTTCAGGTCTTTTTCTGTTCTCTAATTCAGTGTTAAGTTTTTAATTGTCGTTTAATTTCTAGATATTTATTATTTCCCATTTTTAGAGTAAATGGTGTCTTTATTTGGTACTTCTAATGTACTGCCACATTGTTGACTTATTTTGTTGATTCAGTAATCTTGTTGAGTGTTCTTAGTTCTAATAATTGTCTAATTTTACATATTGCCCAGAACCTCTAGTACTGGCTTAAACATTGACTTTATTGGGTGGAGGAGAGGGTTACATTCTTACCTTATTCTCAACTACAAAGGAAATGTGGCTAAATTTTCTCCGTTAAGGATGTTTTTGGTATATTTCTCTTAGAGAATCTTTATCATGCTAAGAAATTTTTGTTTCTATTCAGATTTTTTTTTTTCCAATCATAAATAGGTTTTGGGAGTTAACAAGTGTTTTCTTTGTATCTATTGATTGAGATTGCCATGTCATTTTCCTTTTCATGACGTAAATTATAGTGATTTTCTCCTGTTGATCCATCCTTACATTCTGACATAAATGCTACTTAATTATGACATATATACTTTTTTTGACATATATAATTTTTAATATACCTTTGGATCTGAGTGTAATAGTTTTTTGAGGATTTATGCTATCGTATTTCTTATCGTTTCCCCCCTTTTTTTTGTATATTCAAAATAAAGAAGGTAATATTAGGGGAAAAATATTGTAAGTTCCAAGTAACACATAATAACATATGCATATGTTTTTAAAAGTCAAAATATCCAATATCATGGCTTCTACTGAAAAATAGAAAAATCTCTTCTCATACTTTTCCCCGCATTCAACATGCCACTCCTAGGAGGTAATTATTTTCTGTTGTTTTTGCTGTGTGTTTTTTCTCTTTTTCCTCTATTTCTACAGAATCTGTTTATGCTGCTCTTCCTTGGTTTTCTGTTTTATACATGATCTGCCTACTCTCTGCTGTTGAAGAACAGGATTGAGTTCTTTCACTCCTCCAACATCACCCCTTCTCCTTCTGTCATCCCATTATAATTATATCACATTTTTGGTCAAATGAATATTCAGTATTTGTATTTCTGTGGTAACATAAATATTGTTCACATCTGAGTCAAGTTGTATAATATTATATTTTCATAGAAAACTTTTTTCCTCTAAAGTTAGGAAATGCCTTATATTTTCATTTATTATGATTATCACTACTTCTTCCCTTAAACTCTTTAAAGGAACTATTTAATTTTTTTTCAATACAGTCAAATTTATCAGGTGATATATCCAGTTTGAGTTTTACTTGAAGGCATTCCTTTTGGAGCCTTTCTTTTTAAACATTTTATGTATGTATGTTTGTATGTATGTATGTATGTATGTATGTATGTATGTATGTATGGGAGACACAGGGAGAGGGAGAAGCAGGCTCCATGCAGGGAGCCCGACATGGGACTTGATCCCAGGTCTCCAGGATCATGCCCTGGGCCAAAGGTGGTGCTAAACCGCTGAGCCACCTGGGCTGCCCAGAGCCTTTCATTCCATAGTCCTGCTGCCTTGCTTTCTCTCCTTGAGACTTCTCTTCACTGTCTCCACCCATCCTGGGAGTTCCCAGCTTGCAGAACAAAATTAAGTTTATATTTCCTTATTATTCAAATGGAATAGCTTGACCGCTTCTCTCCTGTGAAGAAATGAGTCACAGTGTAGTGTAGTACTGTAAGCATCCCTTTTTACTTCCTAGGGTTTTCCTCTTTACAGTTATGTCCTGAGATTTTTAAACTTATCCCATCTTAGTCACCTTGATTCTAGCTACCAGATTCTAGAAAGGGGGAATTCTGATGAGTTCTTAGATTGACCCTATCCTTTTGTGCATTTGCTGCCATCATTTCTTTGTTGATGTTGTTGAGGATGGGTATTTCTAAGTTACTCTTGTTAACCTGATGGTAGTCTTTTAGGGTATAAAGAAGATGGAAAAGTAGTTTCTAGATTTCTTCTAGGTCACCTTAGGCATGAGCACTTAATCTCTTTTAATTCTTTGGGCAGCACACACATACACCTGCACATCACATACTGTTCCTTTGTCATTACTGTTAGACTGCCTTGGTCAAAGTGATTTCTAGCCTCATATACACCTTTGTCTAGAAGTAAATCTTTCCTGTAACAGCTTAGGCCGTGGTCACAGATCTGTATCTTCCCTTCCCGTTCCCTGACATGGAGATTCTCAGATTCTTTGACGCCAACTGATCTCATTTGAGGCTACCAGACGAAGAGAGATGTTATATTGTGACTGAAAAAGAAACAACAGTTGGAGGCTTGATGAGATCTTGGGTTCCTGTTCATATTCCATCTTGTCCCTGCTCTCCATTTCTTAAGACTTATGGGGAGAGGTTTGCTTTTATGAAACCAAGAAAAATTTTGTTTTCCTCTTTTCTTAAACAGTTGTTATTACTTGCTAAGAATCTTTATAATTAAGATAGATGACTTAAATGATTATTCTCAAAGCAAGAAAGAGCTCCAAGATAACCTTGCTGTTTCTTATACTAGGTAAAGAAGTAGCTACCACCTCACAAGGTAAATATTGATTATGTTTTTGTCTCATAAATACTGTGGGTTTCTCTAAGGTTATTAGTACTTTCCTTTCTTATTTATCTTTACTTGTCCAATGTCTAGGATAGTGTTTGTCCCAATATGTCTTAGAAAATGTTCATCAAAGAAATGAAAATATATCATTAGATTTTCCTCTTGCCTTTCAGATTTGACTGGTTTTATATTTTACCAATATAGGAAAAAATGTTTTCTTCAGGTTTTTATCTAAATTGTAGTTACCTGATAAACAGTGTAAAATTAGTTTTAAGTGTAGAGTTTAGTGATTCATCACTTACATACAACAGCCAGTGCTCATCACAAGTGCCCTCCATAATCCCTATTACCTATTCACCCCAACTCCTGCCCACCTCCCTTCCAATAACCCTCAGTTTGTTCTCTATAATTAAGTCTATTTTCTGGTTCCCTCCTCCCCTTTCTCTCTTTCTCTTTTTTTTTTTTTACCCCCTGTGTTCATCTGTTTTGTTTCTTAAATTCCACATGAGTGGGATCATATGGTATTTGTCTTACTCTGACTTATTT